GTCTGAACTGTGCATAGTGAGACCCTATACAAAATACACAAATTAAAAATAAATATTTTAAGAATTCCTTGTCAAATAATAATAGTAATTTATTTGGTACATTACACCTAAGTAAAGTGGATAGAAAATAATTTCTACTTCTGTTTTTTAGCAAGAAGCAATAGAAATACAAGAAAAATATGCTTAAAATTACCATTTCTACTTGAATATTTTTTAAATGCCATATCATGGGAACAAAATATATCAAAAATTTTTAGGCTAAATCTAATAAAAGATTATGCAAGGTCTCTACAAGGAAAATTAATATGAAAAAAATTTAAATCACTAAATAAATGGAGAGATGTTAGATACCAAGCTGATCTTTTGTTTACTCATCATAATTGTAGTAGATTTGCATAGTTTGATAATTTTATTTCTAAAGTTTAAAAGGAAATGTAAAGGATAAAATTAGGAATGATCATCTCGATGAAGAAAGTAAATCTAAATGATGTAAACTATAATGTATTAAGTTGTATTATAAAGACACAGTAATTTAAACTGAGTGTCTTTATGAAAAAGACAGCTAGACAAGTAAAACAGGGCTGAGTGTCCAGAAGGACCTAGTATCTAGTTCCCTGAGTTTATAACCATGACCCTGAAATGCAACAGCAAATACAAACTTTTAATTAATTGATTCTGGGTCAACTATAAATCCAAAAGGAAAAATCATTAAATTTGATTCATTACCTCCCAAAACACAAAATCAATTCAAGATAGAGCATAGATTTAAATGTTAAGTGTAAATGTGGCATTTATAAAGTAAAACAAAAAAGAATGACCATATTTTTTACTTTGAAGTAGGAAGTGTTCTAAAAGACAAAAATGAATAAATGAAGGAAAATATTAAAATTAAAAGCTGTATTGTAAGAGAACATCATTAAGAAAGTACAAGTTATTTTTGCCCTTATCTCAGCATGTGTACAGGATATATACATTTTAGACTTACTATACAGGTCAATATTAAAAATACAGACAACCTAATAAAAATGGGCAAAAGAGCTTAAATAATTTCTTACAAAAGAAGATACTTAAGTTGCCAATAAGTGAATGAAAAGTTTGATCAACATTCCCAAAGAAATGCAAATTAAAATTATCAGATACCGCTATAGGCTCACCAGAGTTGCTAAATTTAAAAGAATTGACAAGACTAAATTTACTATACCAAAAACTATTGCATTCTTAGTTAAGAACATAAAGTTATGGCATTACAAATATCATATATTTCTATTTAAAGTGAGAATTAGTTCAACCACTCTGGAAAGCTATTCAGAAAGCAACACTCATTACAGCTGACTTAGCAGCCCCTGTTGTATATCAAGTGTATCAGAAGACACTAACAAGATGATGTTCATACTGACTTGATTTTGAATAACAGATGAATAGAAAATAACTGAAATGTCCATTAAAAGTGGAATGGATAAAGAAGGCTTGGTAATGTTACACAATAGAGTATTACACAACAGTGACCAACACCAGCTACAATCCCAAGAATCAGTGTGGATGAATCTCACAGACAATATCACTTGCAGACGTCAAAAAGTGCTTGCTTTGGTTATTCTGTTTACAAAACATAGCAGGTATAATTTATCTAGAGTGGTAGAAGTGAGAATCATAGCAAATTGAGCTAAAAGAGATGGAAAATAGTATGTCATATTCAAGTGGAGATTATCTTTTTTTACGTATTTGGTTGTTACAAGGTCTCTCTATGCAGCTCTGACTCCTAGTGATCCTCCTGCTTTCAGCCTCCCCAGCACTGGAGGTGTTGCACTATCACGCCTGAACTCTGGCCGGCTCAACCTGCCCTGGGGTCAGGGCTGGAGTGGCATGTGGTGCCAGGGATCGAATTGTGCTCCCTGCACTTGCCTAAGCTTACCTAAGCAGGTGCTTTAATCTGCTGAGCTATCCTGCCAGACCCATGTTGGATTTATCTTGCAGATAAAAAAGTTATAATAATTTTACAATGCTTTAATATATTAGTGTTATGTGTAATTCAAAGCTGATAAATCTTTACTGTAATATTTAATGTATGATTTTTTGGTAATTATTTTAAGTGATTATGAAACCTTTGCCACAAAAATAAAAACAACCATAAAGACTTATTCCAAGAGATGAACAAATATTTTGCTTTGAACACACTAGGTTTGCAGTGAAAAATAACTAAATATAAAATATTTATGCTGAAGTCTTCTGTGAATCTTTTAGAAAAAGGTCTTTGAAGTCACTATTGTGAGTAATAATCACCATAATTTGTTACAGATTTTAAAATATATTTTCTTATAGGAAACTTGGCTTGTCACTGTCATGTTTCCTAGCTCTTCTCCTTTCCCTTTCTTAGTTTATAATTTTTTTGTAATGTTTGTCAGAGTTTGATATCAGAATTACACTGGCTAAAAACTCTTCCAGCCTCTGGATTTCCACATGTTAGAGGCTAAAATGTCTCTCACCAAGCAATAAACTAACGCCAGAATGGATCGCAGAGTCACATATCAAAACAGAAACACTAAATCTACTGAAGGGAAAAGTAGGTTAAAATCTTGAAGACATAAGGGTAGATAGAGAGTTCATGAAAAAAAAAAAAACTGCACAGGAAATACTTCAAAGAATCCATGACTGGGATTTCATCTTATTACAGAGCTTCTGAACATAAAAAAAAGCACCAACATAATGAAAAGACAACTCACAGAGTTGGAAAAAAATTTTAACCAATTGTCCTTCAGACAAAGGTTAGACCATATCAAGAATTTTAAAAAGTCAGACCTCTCAAATTTAAAGGCCCAGTCCAAAATTGGGCATCTGAGATGAATATATGCTTCTTAGATGAAGAAACACAGATGGAAAATAAATATATGAAAAAATGTTCTACATCATTGATCATTCAGGAGATGCAGATGCAAATTAAAACAACACTCAGATTCCATCTCACTCCTGAATGAATAGCTGTCATTAAGAAATCAAGTAATATTAAATGCTGGAGATGTTGTAGGGGAAAAGGGACCCTTCTCTACTGCTTGTGGGAGTATAGAATGGTACAACTAGTATTGAAATCAGTATGGAGATCCCTAAAAAAGCTAGGATTAGAGGTCCCATTCAATCCAGATATTTTTATGTGTGTCTTCCTAGAATAATTAAAAACATCACAACATAGCTATATATATATATATATATATATATATATATATATCCATGTTTATAGCAGCACAGTTTGTATTATTTAAGTCTTGGGAACCCAAATGCCCATCAACTGAGGAGTGAGTAAAAAAGATGTACTTTTATACAATGGTGTATTACTGAGCTATTAAAAAAAATAAGCTTGAGGCTTTTGTAGGTAAATGGATACAATTAGAGCCATACTCATAAGTGAAACAAATCAGACACTCATGTGTAAACATTGGATTGTCTCCCTAGAACCTGAAAGAGTACATAAAATCTGAAAGGAGCACTATATACTGTGAGAGGGAAACTGCTTAAAGGGAAGGAACAACTGCAATGAGAGGAGAAAAGAAAGGCAGAAGAGAAAAAATATATATGTATACACATAAGATAGCTTCAATAATTGTACAGATGATTTATAATGGTCAACTGAACAGTTAATGCTTAATTTTTTTATGTAGTTAGTATAGGTGTCACTACATAGGTCAGACTCGTAGTGACCCTCCTATTTTTAGCCTCCCGAACTCCAGGATTACAAGGGTGCGCCATCACACCCAGTCTCAGTCGCTGTCTCAGCGCACCCCACACGCGGGGCAATACTTAACATTTTTTTCTTCTTTTTAATTTTTTGACCAATTTTGCAGGCTTATATCTGGTAGTCTGAGTAACTAATTTGAAGACAACTATATGCAATATAACAACTATTGTTGAATTCCTGTCATTTTGTTTAGTGAAATTCTGTATCATTTGTAATTTTTTTTTTTTACTATTTTCTTTAAAAAATAAAAAAATACAAAACTCTTTCAGCCTCTATTTCTGAAACAGTTTAAGGTTAAACTGGTTCTCTAGCTTTCTTTTCTTTTATTCTACAACCATCTTGACCTGGAATGTCTTGATAAAAAAGTTAAAATTATAAATTCAAAATCTTTAAGAAAATACACAGAGATATTTTAAGTTTACTATGCCTTCTTTTATTTTTCGTTTTTTTTAATCTCAAGGATTTTCCATTTCATTAGTTCATTGAATTTGTTGATAAATTTTTAAATTATATGTCTCTTGCTTATTTTTATGTGTGTAGAATCTATAACGACACCACTTTATTCATTTTCTGATATTGGCCATTTATATTTCTCTCAAATTAGCTTCTAGGAAATTACCAATATTTTCATATTTTTAAAGACTGATTTTAATTTTGTTGATTTCTTTGTTTTGTGTTTTATTGATTTTCTTCTAAGCAGAATTTTATTTACATGCCACACATATGTTGATATGCTATTTTTATTACTTTTATCATTCATTTGGAAAATACTTCTAGCCTTCTTGATTGTTTTCTTTTAAGCCAAATATTATTTAGAAAGATTATTTAACAAAGATCTTATGGATATTATTATGATATTGTACCTATTCAATTCCATAATAGTCACAAAATATACACTAAACTTAAAAAAAATTAAATTATGTAGAATTCTTTGAGATTGGTCTTATGGTGTGACCCAGGCCCACTTAGTGAATGATGTGTATTTATGTATAAGACTACGTTCTGTAGTTGTGAGGGGTAGTTATTCTATAAATTTTAGTTGGATTAAGTTGCTCGCTAATGCTGTACATGTGCATACCGGATTCATCAGCTACATAGGGAAATGTGTCAGCTTTCCAACTACAACTGTGGTTTCATTTTTCCCTTGAGAGTTTTCAATTTCTATTATATTTACCTGGGACTTTGTTATTAGATTAAAAGCACTTAGCAGTGTTATACCTAGCTTACTACTGGAGTTTGCATGGTGTTACAGTTTGAATTGTTTCTGTTTTAGAATTTCCACTTCTCTTGAAATATCCCATGTCTTCAAGCACTGTTGTCCAACCTATATTGTAAGGTAAGGTTTTTAATATGTTTAGAGTAGTTGCTTTAAGACCCTTGTTTAATAATTACAATAACTGTTTTTTTAGTTTATTAGTTTATATCAACAGTGTTTTCCCTAGGTTATATTTTGATATCTCTCCACTACCCTTTTAATATCTTTTTTTCCAGTTCTAGAGATTAAATTCATGACCTTGCACAGAGATACATCCTCAGGATTGTTTTGTTTTTGTTTCTGTTAGTGCATTTTGTGCTTTGTTGGTACATGTTTACAGTACACATGTTTATAATCCTGTTGGGGAATGGATATGTGTATGTAATACAGTTTGGTTATATTGTTAATCCCCTTCTAATTTTCTCCCCCCCCCCTTCTAATTCCCCTTTCATCATTTGTATCCTTACTGATATTATTAATCTTAGCTCATGTTTATGGCATATGTTTACATGCATTGAGGTTATTAGGTTTCTTTTTTTATGTATTTGGTTGTTGCAGGGTCTCACTATGCAGGTCGGACTCGTGGTGATCCTCTTACTTTCAGCCTCCCCAGTGCTGGGATTACAGACATGCGCTACTATGCCCAGACTCGGGCCAGCTCAGCCCTCCCTGAGGGTGGGCCTCATGCAGTATGTGGTGCCAGGGATTGAACCACAGTCCCTGTGCTTGCCTAAGCTTGCCTAAGCAGGTGCTTTAGGCCACTGAGCTATCTTGCTGGCACTGAGGTTATTAGGTTTCTGTACATGGCATAGCCTTATTCTACTTATTTCCCCTTCCTCTCCTCTTACCCCTCACCTTTGGTCTCTGGGACCCATTTCCATCTGTAAGAGATTGAACCCCTTGTCTCCTTCTACCCATCCTTTATTGTGTTCTTTGTACTTCCCCTACATGAGAGATACCATATGGTATTTGGGCTGGTGTGTCTGATTTATTTCCCACAACATCGTATTTTCCATTGGACTTTCCATTTTGCTACAGATGTCTAGAATTTGTCCTTCTTTATAGCTGATTGATATTCCATTGTATATAGAAACCACATTTTCTTTATCTACTCATTGATGGGAAGGTATACAGGATGCTCCAGGATTTAGCTAGATTGGGCTGCTATAAACATTGGCATGCATGTCTTATTGTAATATGTCTTTAGCTCTTTGGGGAAGATATCCAGAAGTGGAATATCTGGGCCATATGGAATTTCTAATTTTAGTTCTTTGAGGAATCTCCATTCTGATTTCAATAATGGTGGTACTATTTTATATTCCCACTGACAATGTAGGAGGGTTCCTTTTTCACCACAGCCATGCCAGCGTTTGTTATTTTGTTACTTCTTGATGGTGTGGCCATTCTTTCTGCTGTAAGATGGAATACTAGAATTGTTTTAATTTACATTTATCTAATAGCCAGGGATTATTTTCAGGGAAGGGGGTCACTAAATTGCAAAATTAATCAGATTGAGCTTGAACTTTCAGTCCTGCTGCCTCAGCCTCCCAAAGTGTCGGATGACAGGAGTGAGCCACCCACCGCTGGCTTTGCAATCATTTCATTGTGTGTTGGGCCAATCTAATGACATCGTGGAGACCAAAATTTAATTTTATTTAGTTTTCAGACAGCACAAACCTTTCTTTGGCATTTAGAATGAGAGCTTATTCTTTAGAACCTTTCTAGAGTTGAAAATTAGAAATCACCTGTGATTGACTCAAAGCTATCTTTTATACCTTGTCAGTATTTTAACTGAGAGAAATGCAGACTGAAACATTAGGTATTTTTGATTCATGAATGGGGTCAATTTTGTCTGAGCCTCAGTACCTGAGAACTATAAGCATGTGTTGATTAGTACCATTTCTCCCTTTCCAGTCCCTATCTCTACTGCGGCTTACTTGAGAAAATTCAGTAGTGAGGTTTGGGGGGAGGATTATTAGGCTGAGTCGTGTATTCCTGGTTTGAACACCTCTTCAGTTTGTTACCCCAACTCACACTGACACTGAGGCCCAGCAGATTTCTCTTCATCTCTGCAGGGTCGTTGCACCATGAGAGGCCAATGGAAGCGTCAGTGGATCCGCAAAGCTCGCACCTTGGTAAGCAAGCTGCATGGCGTTATGCTCACTTTACACAGCCATCTTTTCTCTCTGGATTTCAGGTCCTCAACCTTTCCAGGCAGGGCTAGGCACACAGGCTTGCATCCTCTGCAGGTGCCCCAAGCATGATGGTGACTACTCTGATGTCACTGTCTCGAAGTTCTTAGTAATTACTGAACAAAGGAGAATGAATTCTCATGCAGAATGTAATTGGCTATGCTTACTGGCATCTGCTGATTGCCATTAAACATGTACAAAAGCAGGATTTTTTATTTCATTTGTGTTTTCCTTGTTGTTACAATAAAGAATTTTTTTATCTCCCTAAAAGTAGAGATTATTTAATTTAGGTCTCACTTCCTTTTAACTTCACTTCAGAGAACTTCAGAACTTTATATTGAAGTAACTGAAACTTCTTTCTGCAGATTTTGTTTCCATGATTCATTTTGCTGATTCCCTTTCATTGAAATGTCTGTATTTTCAGTTTGCCCTCTAAGTAGACAACAATTATAAGAACCAAAGTCAGCATTTAAGTTATTTTAATTAGGTTCCTTTATATGCCATGAACTTAAAAAAATACTGCTAACTTCTAGCCAAACTGCTGCCCCCAGTGTCCCTAAGATGTTCTGTCAGGGGCCTGATTCTGTGCACTCCACATCTCCCACCCTCACCCTCTCAGTCCGACCCACACCTGAACCCCATACCTCCCATACAGTGTCTTGGCAGCTGTATTCAATGGTTCAGTCTGAAGCCTTCTTTTCCATAATGGTTGCCACATACACCCTTTATTTTATTACCATTTACTTATACTCCTCATGTATTTTTAAACAGTATTAACAGTGAAACATTCAGCTGCAAATGTGTAATTACTTTTACATAGAATAGCCCGGCATTTTTACAATGCTGACCATTTTAAACACTGATGTAAAATATGTGGTTTAGTATATAAAAAGTGAAGCATTCTTTTCAGCCATGTCATCTGGCTGTCAATATCTAGACTTGGGAATTCCTCTTTTCTAAATTCATGCTTCTGCCATCTCACTGGTTTTTCTTTCTCTAGAAGTGTCATTGTTATTACTCATCAAATGCCTACATGCTTCTCACATTCACCTGTTTGTGCATTAATGTGTGCACAGGGCAAGTCTTGGGGGTTATGGGACACCCACTGTGTGAAATTTAGGTAATTCAGCCATGATTGCACCAGAGCTTTGGTCCTCATAGAGATGTGAACCTGCTTTATGTTACCTTTGAGAAGTTCTTTGGGGGGGGGGTCAATGAAGCATTTCTAGAAAATATAACTTTTAATTTGATATTTTAAGTAGATACCAAGTAGGCCAGGAAGGGTTTGGGGCAAGAGGAGATCTAAGCAAAATGATGAATGTGTTCAAAGTCTCTAAGGCAAGAAAGAGTGAGCTCTGGCTTGATTGAGATTAACTCATCTGATGTTCAACATATTCTCAGCTCACAAACACTACAAAATGAAAACTGGGTTACTGCTTATTAGACTGAAACATACACATGTTTAAGTTGCTTTCACCATTTCACTAGTGTGAACTTTTAAAATATTTCATCAGCAAGAAGAGTGCGTTACCACATTTTTGGCTCTGCATTTATTATACGTACTATCCACAGTAGCCCAAAATAATCTTGAAACCCTCATAAGAAATTAGAAAAGAGGACATTCATCCAGGATCACATGGACTACAGGCAGTAAAAGGAAAGCTTTTTATATAATCTGATTTATAGGGACAAAATTGAAATATCTGTCACTTTTCAAATTTGAGGAACTTTCAAAAAGTGCATATTTTATAATGTCTTAGAGGTCTGGAAATTATCATTTGAGTATCATATTTTAAGCAAATTATGCACAGATATTATGTATAATCTAAATTTATATTAATAAACAATACTGGTTTTGCTTCATTAGAAAATGCAAGAACCACCAAAAAGCCTGGAAGAATTCTTAAAGTTTCAAAACTGGGTGAGTAGAGCCTCCTATTTTATGAACTGATATATCTTTTAAAAATGTTAGATATAGAGCTGTGGGCATCTTAAAAACTTTAAGCATAGAAATTCTAGAAAGTACTTTCATTTTAGGAAATCTTTGCAAATATTTAATTCTTTTCATTGGGCTCTCTGCTGTTCTCGTCAGTAGTCGTGTTTTCACATTAAAAGTGTTAAGCCCATGCGGACATTACTGCAACATCTCACAGACTCTTCTGTTTGCAAACAATTTTGGTTTGAAAAAAGAAGCATTTAGCAAAATTTTGCTTCCACTGGCAAACTCAATGTCAGGTGTGGAATGCAGCTGCTGCCATTTTTGCTGCAGCAACAGGAATGCGGCCGTCTTGACAGCCATCTTCCCCAGAATGGTGAAATACACTGAGCTCATGAGCTGGGGTAGCACTGGACTCTTGCTAATACATAGTTTTTGTCTTAAATATATACACCTTAAAGAAAATCTGACAGCTATACTTAGCACACTTATCTATATGCCACAATTAAGACTGACAGATAATTTGGAAAGATGTTACATTCTTTGATTGTTGAATTAGGATAAAGTAGTCAAAATGTATTTTCACATCGAAAAGTTCCAGTTTCTATTATTATACATAACTACTGGTTTTATGTGAAGTTACTGAGATTGCTAAGAAGGTTGCTCTGAGTTCCATGCACTTCTGAGTACGAAGGCCAGATTTATTTTGCACTGAGGTATATTAACTAAGGACTAGGATAAAGATGTCTGTGTATAAATAGAGGAAAAGGTAACTTTTTAATAAGATAGTCTCGTATTTTAATGAACTACATCTATGTTTACATATAATGGAATTTGCTATGACTAAAGTAGTAACAATGCAGTTTCAGATATATCTATTTTTAAACATCTATTTTCCATTTTTTAAAATTTGTTTATATGAATGTTTTTCTCTTAACATTTTTGGAAAAGGATTTCCTTTAGGAGCAATAGAAAATGAAAACATTCCTAGTTTACAAAAGTTTATTTCAGTTACTGTGGTAGAGCCAAATATTTTGAAGTACTTTTAGGACAAGCTTTTTGCAACTATTTTGATTTAAACAGTGATGGAAATGTACTGCAGCTTAATGTCAGTGTTTCAGTTTTTTTCTTTTTTCAATGTCAAAGGAAAATGATTGTAATTAAAATTAAGCAAAACTCAACAAATAATGGAGATATTTGTACCATATGTTATACATGTTTGAGGACCTATTATTTCACATGATAATTTCTAATTGTTTGAAGTGGAAAATTCATAATTCCTCTGTTTAAATTAAAAATGATACTAATGAAATCAAGATTATAAGTTTATGCCAGCCCTTCACTACAGATAGAATAAAATCAAAGCACATGTCTTCTTGTGTCACGAGTATTATCCTTGAATACAAAAGTTACCACATTGATTTCTTTACAAAGGCTCTAATTATACCCTTCAATTTTTACCACATCATATTTTATAAAATCATATATCCATTTGTGCCATTTTGTCACTTTTGAGTTTATCCGTAAATCTTTTTTTTTCTTCTGTATTTCCCAGCCTAATAATCACGTTGTGTACTTTATTTTGTAAGGCTTGGCTATGTGTATGCATTGCCAAATGTTTGATATTAGAAAATATCAAGGAACAAAACAACTAAGTATTTAAATTTTGCTTGCTGAACAAAGTTTTTGTCTTATGTCTTCTTTTGTCTTCCTTGACAATGGTGAGGAAGCAGTAACTGAGGTGGATTCATTTAAGAAGTATTTCTGAGTACCAACTGTTTGCCAGGAACATAAGACACGTGGGATTTACTCATGAGCAAAACTAGGCAAAGATTTGCCTTCATGGTGCTATCATTTTTTAGAATTGAGACATATAAACAAATGAACAAAGCAAAAGAGAGATGAAAAGCATATTCTAAGGGGCCTATCACTTCTTAGAGGACCCATTTCATTTTATTTTTTTCTTTACAAAATATAAAGGCGGAGATCTGTGTGTGCGTAGTGGGTAGTGGCATCACAGCTAGGAGCAGGGCTCTGGGGCTGGCCTACCTGAGCTCCAGGCTGCACCTGCTAGCTCTAGAGCAGCACCTGCAACCGACAGGCTGGATGCTGGTTTCTCTTTTGTCCTATATTGCTTTTTCTTTTTCTTTTCTTTTTTTTTTTTTTTGTGGAACCGGAGATTGAACTCAGGCCCTTGCGCTTGCCAGGGAAGCGCTTATTCCACTGAGCCATCTCCCCGGCCCCACTGGGCCATCTCCGCAGCCCTGCATATTTTTATAGCATCACCTAAATCCTTTCTTTTTTTGCCAATTCCTATCATTTCTATATTTCCTCTGTAATTTGAATATATTTTCCCTTTCACTCCTCTCTCCTCCCTCTCATTCTTGTTATGCCTCTTTGCACCTTCTTACCTTCAGTTAGCTCTGTACTCTCATCTTTCCGTTGAGCAGCTCCTACATTTTCTTCCTAGTGCTCCCTCTTTGGTCCGTCACCATTCTATTTTTATCGTAAAATATTTTTGTATTTTATTTTATAACATTCTCTCATCCTACTATTGTTACTTCATGGTCAACTCTTGTCCTACACATTCATCCATTTTATTGCTGTTCCATTTGGGAGATATCTTCTGGACACTGGAGATAAAGCGATGAATAAAGCAAACAAAGATCCTTATTTTTTGAGGGATTTTGGGTCACTCTCCTTCCCCCTCCTTCTCTATTCTGTCACATATTTTGTTAGGATTGCTTTCCAGGTCCTCGGGAGCTGAGCAGTTGTCTCCTATGACTTCTTTCTCCACCCGTCATATTTAGCTCCACATTACTGTTCCTTTCCTTTCTTCTTCCTAGGAGCGTTTCATCTTCTCATAGCCCATCAGTGTCAGTTTCTGTTAATAGGCTTAGATTTGTAATCAGACCCATAGAGTACTCAGCTCTTCACTATGATTTTTATTAAAGGATCGAAGGTATGCTAGAAAGATTATTTCAGTGTCCTTTTAAGAAGTGTCCTGCTTTGTTTTCCATTCATTCGTCCACTCATTGATTTATTTAAATTCGTCCTTATATCAAACCTTAACAATTCTTGAAGCCAGGCTTCTTATCTTGCTGAACCTCAGTAGTCATTGGGGGTTGTGTGTGTGTGAAGATCTAACAATGTTCAATAAACAGAATCCTTCAAACTTTAGGAAAGCCCTTTGCTTATTTGCTCTCCCTTTTCCTTTAGCTTTGTGCTGGTGTGTAATCATTCATGCTTTTGCCATTCACAAAGTTAATTGCTATAATTAAAGTAAACATAAATACCTAGTCAATCCCTACTTCCTTGGCCTTGTTTTAAGCAGGAAAACTGTTTTCTTGGAGTTATCACTGAGGGCTGTCATCCTATATTGGAGAAATGGATTCTGTGAGGCACTGAAATCTCCTTCCCAACTCTTCTGCTCCTTTGGAATTTGAGTGCATTCATTTCATTTGCATTAATGTGATCACTTTGGATGCTGGATGCCCAGCCTCTTATTGTGTTGCCTTCCTCTGGAGAAGTGAACTGTTGGTTCTGATGGACCTGTTTACTTTTCTGAGGTCTAGCTTCACAATTCACACGCACATGTACATGTAGGTATGTGCACACACGTGTGTACATTGAGACAAGGGCTCCTTATGTTCCTAGGCTGATCTTGAACTCTTGATCTCAAGTGTCCTCCTGTCTTGGCTTCCTGCATAGTCAAGACTACAAGCCTGTGCCTGCGTATTGGCTTGAAGTTTGCTTCTCAGGTGGCACTCTATGCAAGAGGCTCTGGCTGATGGCACAGTGTAAAGGATTAAGAGAAGGAAGTAATTAGAGAGATGGGGCTAGCGGTGATCTGCTGTAAGATGTTACTTACTTCAAGAATGTCCGCTGGAATCCACATAACAGCACGACCGCAAAGAATCAGTAGAAGAATCAAGGCTTGTCTGCAGATCACGTTCTTAGTATTAATGGCTCTGGGACCCCAGTGAACCCCTGATTGCTTGCTTCTTCAGGTCATAGGTGGTCATCATTCTGTCACTGTCCTCTGCTGTGAGATAATTCGCATCACACTGCTGTCCAGTTTCTACAGAAACTTCACCTTCTGTGCTGAACATAAAAATAAGTACCTCCTCTTTTCCTTACTACTGTTACCCACATGGGTAACTGCACTTAAAAAAATTTACAACCACATCTTCACACCACAGATCAGATAATAAGCAAACAAGTAAACAAACAAAACTCACAACTTCACAATGAAAACTCCATGTTGATTTCATCCCTGTGCATAGCACTGCGAGATCTCCAGCCGCATGTCTGGCCCGCACACGTGCCGTCTCACTACTGCTTGTGTCCATCTTTGGTATTCCTGTCCGTGCACATGCCTGCCCAGGGAACCGCGGGCACCTGCAGGTGACGGAGCGCAGAAGGGAGTTTCTTCCCCTGCAGACACTGGGCGAACTGTCTGTTACACATGTGTGTTTTACTTACAGCTTGTCAGGGGAGGTCAGATGCAGAGTCCCGCTCGTGGTGGTGCCGCAGCACTCAACAAGCTTGGATTCTGGAGCGTTTCAGATTGCATGTGTTCACAGAAGAGCTGCTCAACCATGTGCTTTGGAATTGGGGCACACAGACATGGTACCTGCAGGCTGGCGCTGAGTGCGCATCTTCGTGAAGGCTTGCACCTGTCACACAGGCTTCTCAGCGCCACTTAGGCTTGCCTTCTTTCCTCACAGTACTAGCAATAGCAATGCATGCCGCACACGGCTGCTCTTCACATGCACTTGTCATTCTAAATTGACAGCAGTTTTCTTCAGAGATTTTATCCTATGATCTTCCGCTATTACTTCGGGATCATTGTGGGTGGTGCTTTTTTGTCTGTTTTCCCAATTTTCATACTAGAAAACTTCCCCTCGTTGTTGTGTCTTAAGAAATATATTTTCAGGATTTGGGAGAGGGCACTTATGTATCTTTTTAATACTTGTTTTTTCTGAAGGCAAGAGGACCTAGGTTCCTCGGAAAATTTATTATAAATGATTAAGTAGTTTTCTTTCTTTCATATTTTGGCAGGACTATTGGCCCAGAGAAATGATTTGGCTAGATAATGATAAGTGGGCATACACTTTGAAAAATATAAAAGAGGATTGTTCATTTGCATCAGTTTATACAAATCTATGGAAAAATGTCCCTCGAATATTTGAAGTAGCCACGACCATGAATTCAAGATTAAAGGAATGTTCACTTCTCCTGCAGACCCATGCTTCTAAACTATTTGAGCAGGACAACCTGATTTCCAAGACAGGTAAGCCTTAATTTCTTACGGGACTAAAGGAATGCTGAGCTGTGCGTGTGTTTTTTATTAGTTTGTGTTCTCATCAAGAATCAGATCTTAATATATAAAATCTTAAAATCAAAAACATACATCTTTTTTAAGGTGGGCCTAATATGGATTTTTAGCTGAACATATAACATGTTATTCTAAAGAAACAGTTGCCAGGGTAAAGACTAAAACAGTTATGAACTTTGTTACACTGGAGGAAGGTAGCAAACCTCACAGAAATAACATGACATCAACTGACATGAAAAACAAGCAAGTCAATAAGGTCAGGATAGGAAAAAGGAATCTCCAAAACCAAAAGGTGAGCACTGACCTACGTGGGATAGGTTGTGGGCTGATAGGAGTACTTGGCGTGCAGTACGAGCTCAGCGAGTTGAGGGAAAAGCGCATCTGCAAATGATGATAATGTTTCATTTTTAGCATGTGTACTATGTTTTTATTATCAAATTGTGTTGACTAACACTTCTAGAATAGTTTTAAATACCAATGTTAATTCTTGTCATTGATTTAATGGGAAAACTTATCACATAGGAGCTTTGAAACTGATGATTTTGACCATAGTTGTATTTTCTTGTCCAAAAGAAAAGAAGGTCCACTGTAGCAAGAGGCATTACACCTGTCCTATATTTCCTACCCATACCGTGGTTATAACTGAATACAAAATTAGATAAATAAAACTTGCCAGATAGTACAGTGCACAAGTGCAAGAAATAAGCTGGCCATC